GAGTGCATAATTTTCTAGCAGGATTGTTTGTTGTTGGGTTTTGTTTGTTTGTTTTACAAAGCTTCCAACTTCGAAAATGCAAACCAAAACTCCTCTGTGTTTGTGTTCTATGCCTGGCTGAGACTTCTTTCAGTTCTACAGTTTGGTCCAGAATTGCATTGTTTAATGTACAAAGTACAGGACATGCTACTGTGCTTTTCAAAAAACAGATACAACACTGTCACCTTCAATTAAAGGTTGATGTCAAAGTTTCAGTACTGGTGTTAAAGGGCTTCTAGAAATGAGAACAGAGAAGTCAAGATTTATTTATCACCAAGAGATAAGCAATGAGCTCTGTAAAACATACACGTTACAATAAGACTTTTCCTATAGCAAATAAAAGTCATCAGGGGGCTTTATTATTTTTTAAAACATTTCTTTCTAAGTTTCAGAAGTGGTAACAATTCCAGCAATAAAACTTTCAAAGTGCCCTGGCTGTGCCTCTCTTTTTAGTGTCTCTTCCAAATGGGGCCAACAGGTAAGAAACCCGCTCCTCTAATCAACAGTTATCAGTTTAGCATTATGCTTTTGGCAAGTCCGATCCTGAAATACTATGAGTATTTGATGGTTGTAATCAATTTATTCGTGACCATATAAAAAAAGCAGTTACATGTGACTGCACTGTCAGATCTATAATACACAAAGACTGCAAAAATAAAAGGCAAAAAAAGGAAAAAAGGCCTCAAGTCTCCTTTTTTGTTTTTGTTGTAGTTTTTTTTTTTTACTAATTGTCTCACAGCAAAAAAAAAAGTAGTAAAGGCTTAATCTTAAATACAAAGTTATAATCTGCAAATCAGGTCCTCTAATCCAGACTGATGGTACACTTTGTTTCAACGGAACCACCCATTACAAACTTGCAATGCCAGCACTCATTCATACCCTGAAGCTTTCCCCAGCCTTGTCCACCCAATCAACTATTCACATCTTATTTTAAGTAGAATAATAAAAAAAAGTTGTTTGCGGTTTTGAAACAGTTGGCCTGAATTCTTTAATACCAGACTCAAAACTCAGGAAGACAAATTTAAGGATATCTCAACTCAATTCTCAAAAAAATTGTTTACAAATGAGGAAAAAAAGGTGTAAATATGCGAGTACAGAAAGTGTTAAAATACCACTAAAAAAATTGACTTGGTAAAGAGTCTACACTGGAAACACTTACCTTGTCAAAGCATTAAAATTATCATCTCAGAAGACAATTCAGAGACACTTAGTCAGAAAAAAATGCAAACTAGACTGTCGTAGATGATTGAAAGGCATGTGCAAAACAATGGCTGGTGAGGGGCAACCAGTCATCTTGCAAAGTGAGGGACTGCAAAGCACTCATCACTGACCTCCTTCATAATCTGCATTGAAGGACCTGATGAACAGCAGTGAAATTTTTGTCATGCAATTACAACTGTTAAGCAACCAATACGCAACTCAAGAGTGATACTGTCATCCATGGTGGATTATTAAAGTAATAATCCATTCAAGAATAAGCTCAAAGGGGAAAAGTGGTAAACATCAGTTGCCATAAGTGAAAACACTTCAAAAATTTACAATTAAATAAAAAGTTAGATGATATCTTAGAAAAAGAAGTACTGAACACAACAAAGCCACAATAAATTAGTGTTTCCATAAAACAACATGCTGAAGGTTTTGTTCCCAAGTCTATACATTTTTTACTGTCTGTTAATTCCTAAATATCGACAGCATAATTGAATAATTGAGGTACAGTAGTTTACATCTGTATATGTCTTGTAAAAAGGTTAATTTTTTTCTTCCAGTTTTTCTTCCTCATCGCCAAAGAACAACAAAGGAAACATTCCTAAAATGCAGCCAATGGTCACTCCAATAGCTTTACCCTAAAGAAAGGGGGGGAAAAATTAAGTTTCTCACTGATGAGTGGTTACTCATTTCCTGTGTAGTACCAACACAACCAGGAAAACAGACTCTTTGTTCTAGTTTCCAGTTGGGAGTCACATTTTTCTTAGCATGCAGACTAGAAACACAATCTATGAGAGACAGACAGATATGACAAGGTTAGAAACAGCGTGTGCTGTGACAAAAGACAATTCTGAATAAAGAGGAGGGGAATGACCCATGAAGAACTGCACAGGGGGTAAGGAAGGGAGGAAACAGACATTCAAAGGGTTAGTAGGATGCTCAGGAAGACAGGGAAGGAAAAAAACCCAACTACACACACATTTTAGGTGCAATTATAAATTTATCTGCTTGTATCTGGTAATGCAAGTTATCCAAGTCAGAAATTGCAAGCCATTATGTTTGCAAGGAAAGGCACAAGGCAGAGCCACATAAAAAAATTTTAAAAAAGTTAAATAGGAAAACATTTCACAATTGACCTAGATGTAAAAGTCAAGAGCAGAGGAAAGAAGACAGGCAACATCCAAATCACATCAACAGCAGTAAGTGGATGGTGTTGAGAAACTTGAGGCAGAAGGTAAAAAAACAAAATAAATGATAGCATACAGGCAAAGATGCTGAGAAGTCTTTTCTGTGAAAAGTGCTGTGAATGAACTGCAGTGCAATGACAGGCTTTTGCCACAGGCTCCGCTTCCACGGAGAAGACTCTTATGCTGCACAGACTAGAGGGCAGCCCACCGACAAGCCAGTTCTTCCCTGCTCAGTGCTTTGATCTATCACTGCTAAAAGCAGATTCCCCCCCCGCCCCCATTTTTCCTCAGCAAGTGTTATTTCTCTTCCCTTAAATCTGCAAAGATATTTTTCCTTTTTCCCCATGACAGTTCATACTGGCTAAGTGAAAGAAATACCTGTTTCTTTACTCAGTTTCTTATAATCTCTTTCTTTAATCTAAATAAATTAACGCTCTCATTGCTGAAGTGAGACTGCTTCAAATATTTAAATGTTAATTAAGTAATCACCCTGAAAATGCATCTGCAAGGTGAGTGTCCTGTAACTGTAAACCCAAGGAGTGAATATTACTCAAATGCTAAATGTTTACCCAAGGGAAAGTTAATTTCATATCCAAGCTAATTATGGAATATTAGAAATGAACATTTACTAGCACAGGTATATGAATAGCAAGCACTTGACAAAGAATGTATAGGAGTGAACTACTAAGGGGTCATAACTTTCAAATAAACTATCTTATCATAGTAGCCAGAGCTCAATCCAGGTACCTGCATAGCATACATGACGTCATTGCAGAGACTATCCATGTTACTACAGTCTCTCGTGGCTTGTTGCATACAAAAAATCACCCAAGCCCAAAACAATCCATGTGTCTCAGTCTCTCTGACATAAGCTCACAACTAAACCTTCCAGGAAACATGCAAAATGACGGTGGTCGTTAAGTATTGAATGGCAAAAGGACCAATAAGGATTTATCACATATTAGTTCAAACAAAAAAGCTCCATGCAAACAGCGCCTACCTACGGGATACTCACCAAGTGTGCACTGAGACGTGTTTGCCACATATCAGCTTGTTTGGGTGTCAGATCAGGGATTGACAGACCCAGTCGTGAAGCTAAAGCTTCTACATAACCTGCAAGACTGGAAGAACAAGAAAACAAGAACAAACATTTTTGGATCTGACAGTATCTTCCAGTGAGGATTTTGAAATATTTGAAGTATTGAACCTAAAATGAGTAACTTTTCCTTCAGCATACTGATAAAGCCATCGAGAGGGAAATGTGCAAACAGGTTCAGACCTCTGATGGTCACATTTTGCAATGGAAGTTCACTAATTTTCTCACTGATTTAATATGCAATATTTCCAAAAAAACCTCATGCAGTAAGACACAACTGGTGTGAGTAACTGTGGTTTTGCAGAGCTTGTAAGTAATCTTTACTGGATGAAAAGTTACAGACGCACACACACATTAGTAATAAGCCTTGTTATTGGCAGAAAAAAAAATTAGAAGGAAAGTGGGAGAGGCGTAACAGACAGCTTTATTTTCAGCAATTATTCAGAAATTTCCTTTAAAAAATAAAAATGTCAGCTACATGTGTTTATATCAGAAATAGGTATGCCTAGATCTGAAGACATTTCAGATACATAACTGTTTTATCTGAGAAGGAAATGTCTTCAGATCTATGAACAACAATCTGAGGAGGTATATTAGATGTACTCTATCACAGTAATATATCACAAAAAATATATTTTTCCATTTTGTATTTTAACGAACTCACTTTTTGTAGAAAGAGTTCTAATATTTCTTTAAAAGCAAGCATGATTTACAGAATACACTGAATCTGGTTAAACCCCAATCCAAATTTTATCACTTAAAATATATAATACTGTAATAGCAGGATGCATTGCAGTTTTAACCTGAAAAAGAGCCACCCAATATTGCAACTTTTTCTTAGCAAGGACAGAATATATTTCTAGAGTCATGTAGTTTACTGAAGCAAAATTCAAGAACTAGGAAAAACAACAAAGTCATTTCAAGTGTGTTCAGCAGTTTCTAGTTCAGTATCACCAATAGCGTTTGCAAAGGAGTGAAAAATAAATATATTATTAGAACAAGTTCAGACATACCCCAGTCCAGCTAAATCTGAAACAAGGTTTCCCAAAGCAGCAGCTGGAGGGATGGAGAGAAAAGAGAAATGGGGAAGAAGGCAAAGTATTATTTTAATTACAAACAAAACCAATCAGCTCCCCTCTCCTCCCCCCAGTGACTCTCACTCTTCTCAGCATATATTGCATAAAAGACTAAAAGTAAATTTCTTTTATGCTAGAGCTTTTTTCCTGACCTTACAACAGCTTGTAATAACAACAGCAGACTAAGAACGATAGAAAGTGCAACTATTTTTCTCAACTCCTATGAGGAAAACTTGACAAAGACAACGCTCACACCTGGAAATCAATGTAACACCTTTCCAGCTCAGAGTTAAACACAGCCATGCGGGGTTACTGGTTTCATGCAGCTAACACTGGCCACCAACCAAGGCCTTCCAGTGCCCGAAGAGGCACAGGAGCACTGGAAATAGAAGTGTATGTAGCTTTGATAAACGTTTCAACATAGCCATGAACTGTGTCAGTTTATTCAATCATACCTACAGTATTTATTCCTAGAGTTACACAATTAAAATACATGATTTCGCAGCAGATCTTATTGAGATAAGCTTGCTTGTGACTGTCTTGCACTGCAACAGAGGGCTGCAAATTTCCAAATTAGTAACTTGTTCTGCTATGTACATTTTCATTTAAGCTATCTGCATGCTTTCGGGCAATGCTGCACCTGCAGTTGGTGGATCCATGAGCAGTTTTTTTTCCTCTGACACTGCAGAGGCACCAAAGCTGCTGAGCAGAGCTTATCAGTTTTGGCCCGGTGCAGGAGCAGGGTGGCTGCTTGGCCGTCCTGTGGTATCGCACAGAGGCAGAGAAGCCACCACCAACACCAGCCAACACAGTAAAAGGACACCAACACCGATCTTCACTTAGCACTGCAAGCAAACAGCAACTTACAAATACATATATATACACATACACTCTATACGCATTTAGAGTGGTTCCGTCACAGAAATGCAAACACACTTTCCTAAGTGACACAGAATTTGAACTTTTAGATTAAAACCACCAACAAGCAGCATTTCAAAAGGTATTTGAACTGAAATTCCATTTCTGCAAATGGAATATGTCCTTGCTTCAACTTAAGTTGTTTCTTTATTAGGAAAGGCAGCTGCAAGACCAAGGAAGAGCTGTTTCCAGCCCTGTGGCCCACTTTCAGCCTAAAATATAGGAATGTGTCATATTAGTCAACACATACTGCATTTTTATTACTTGCCTGCCATAGTTGAAATTCCTAGGACAACTCCAATTGACAACTCTATTTGAGTTCCCTGAAAAATAAGAGTTTTCTTATTATTTAAGGAATTTGGAGTTAGAATAGATGACATTGATTCAACTGGCAAAAGTGTTACTTACTGCTCATTTATGTTAAAATTGAAAGGATAAATGGACATTACTTTTACTAGATCTGCACAGCTCCTGCCCTCCTGGTGTATATATACTTCCCCACAGGACAAGAGCCTACTTCTGATATTTATTTAATATTTTATGTTGTTTCATGATGGTCACCTAACAGACAATACTGTAGTCCCTATTCTCTGCATACCACTTTCCCCACTGTAATTCTAAGCTGAATGCACAGCTCTGAACGCTAATTTCTACAAATCCTGAACAAACAAATAAAATATAATATCATAGCTCCCTACTTTTTCAGCTGAAGGAACAAAATCAGTGAACTGCACAATGAAACAGCAGTACGTGGTCCAAAGATGAGACACAATGTGCCTGAATTAAAACAAGATTGTTCTAGTTGGATATAGGAAAATGTTTTCCTATGGTTTTGGAACAGATTGCCCAGACAGGCTGTGCAGTCTCTGACCTTGGATCTTCTCAAGTCCCACAGGATAAAACCATGAACAACCTGGTCTGACCTTACAGCTGACCCAAGCATTGAGCAGGCAGTTAGACTACAAACCCTGAGAAAGTCCCAAGCAGGGGCAAGACTAGAGACCTAGCGGGTCCCACGGTCCCTTCCCACGTAAATTATCCTATGATTAAGATCACACTGAGAATGATAATTTTACATGAGGAACAGTATCTTTGGCCTTTATCCATCTTCCTGTTCCACTTCCAAATACATTGCCCATTTCATCTTCCAAATGAACAGGAAAATCTCTCAAGAGTGTTACTCTTGATGCCAGGCTACATCAGTACAAATCAGCATCAGCACTAACACACCTGCATCGCTCGGAACAATGGAACACATCAGTAAAAACCCTGATGACCTATTCATCAACACATTATAATCACATTATCATCAGTCAGCACAAAAACCCATATTGACTGCACGATCATAGATGTGTCTTGCAGTACGAATTAGGAGAGAGGGAAAAAGGCAAGTCTCTTCTCAATTCAGCAAAATTAGTTACAACACTGGCCTTCAGAAGGAACAACACTCCTCTGCATTCTGCAAAGGCTCAATACAGCACGGACGTTTTCTTTAAAAAAGAAAATTTAAAATAGAAATTACTGGGTTGATATAGAGGGAATGGAGTCTTCCTGAAGTTTTCATTTTCAACAATAAGAATCATGTTGACTTGATCAAGGAATGAAATAATGAACTTACCGCAGCAATCATAATTGCGTTATCCAAAAATCCAAACCCTACAAAAGGTAATGCATTGTGGAAGAACACTAAAAGAAATAAGTAACAAAGAGAAAATAAATATTTATAAGAGAGTTCACTAGTTCACCCAAACAACTGAAATGTCGGTCTAATACTGCCTTTAAGAGAAACACAGACAACATACACAAAATCCATTTCCTACTACTTCTATTAGTGGGGTTTGTTTATTTCTGTCAGGTTTGGTAAAACCCTTTGCTACACGTTACTAATGGCTTGCAAAGAACCTGTTAAACCAACTCACTCTTTGCAAATACTTGTACAATTCTGGATGGAAGCCACTTATGTGTATTAGTGCAGAAGAGAAATATTTAAAACTACACAAACTTTGATACTATTTATGGTCATTCCAACTGATGCTGCAGTATTACTGAAGATTGCCAAATTGTCTCACCAGATTCCCTACATTCTTCTCTTGCTCAAAAAAAAGCCCATTTCTCGGCAAGTCCCTCTCTATTCCTGTCCAAGAACTCCATCTTCTTCACACATTCATAAAAATTCGTATTTTAGAGGAGTATTGCCTAGAGGTAGGCAATTCTTACCAAACCTGCTTCAGCTAAATCTGCAAATGCTAAGGTGGTTTTCAGTAGTGTCATACAGTGGTAATTAGCTCACGAGTCAACCCAAACTTCTGCATCTGGATTTTGTTCGGGCACTATGGTGAGTACAAGTTAGACTTGAAGCTGCTCGTCAACACATTAAGAAATTAAGCTGCACCTTTTGTTTTATGCAAGTTTTTTTCCTTTTCATTCCTGAAACTCCAAGTAAATACTATTTGAAAATATTTCCTATTGTCCTGTTCCATTTTCTCTCTCAAGTTTTAGCATGTAAGCTTCCGATGGCAATGAGACTGAATTTGCACAGCATTGCCTCCAGCTGAGTCTCAAGGTGCAAGCACCCTCAGACTAAATACAGCATTGAGGACAGACTACTTCACTAAAAACAGAGCTTACAAAGTTAGATCTTTTCACTTTTAACATTTAAAATACATCAGGTATTCAGGTTTATTTTCCCCACTTCAGATGGGAACAAGAATTCCTACATTTTATAAACTTAGAGATGCAAACATATGAAGAGGGAAGAAAGAAGAGTGTATGAACCTCGCAGTCATCTGAAAAGAAACCGGTATGAGTCCCTTTTGGATTTACTTCTCACAGACAGCATGAATCCATGATCATATAAAAAACAAAACCACACATGATTTTTCATGCTCAGGTACTACAACACATTTGGACTTCTGTAACTATTTTATAAGAACATACGCATCTTCTTAAATGCACAGGTAAAAGACTAAGGCACAGAAAGTATGAAATTTTCCATATTATTATTTTTTTAAACCACCACAGGAAAACAAACAAACAAAGCACATAGATATGGGCAGTACTTTCAAAATGTGTGCATGAAACTCTGGAGCTACAAAGGGAGCTCAAATTCTTACCAAAGTTGTCAGAATTTTGGAATCCATGGAGTAACCAGAACCCCAGGGACCAAGCAAAAAAAAAAAATCCCATATAAAAATAAGTGTAGATACCTAGAATAGGAAAATGTTCAATTAAATACATTTGCTCACTGAGAGAGCATAAAACCACAAAGAATACACTGATTTGGAAACTAAATCAGAATTTAAATTAATTGGTATTATAAAGAATACCAGATCTATTTCCAATTTCTCTGCAAATTTATCCCACTTCTCAGTCCATTTAAAAATATGTGACAAGAAACAAGTCAATAGTTTTAACCTTAAACACAAGAAGCCCCCCCAAGGTACTGCAGCATCAACACTGCTTGGCTTACAAAAACAACGTTTGCTGCTTTGAACAGCGCACTCTCGTTTGAGCTTTCTGTCCTACTTTCTCTAAATGGTGCACATTCTCCAGCTGAGGTGTTATGAAATAAAGACGACAGGGTGACTGCTGGTGCTTGCTTTGGTTTTCTGTTACTCCATACGACAGGGATGAGGACATACCAGCACTTGTAGGAGAAAGATGAAGCAATTGAAAAAAAAAAAAACAGACTGCACAAATACTGAACCACATTCAACAAACATTCTTCGTTTACCATGTTTCAGTTGTCCTGGAGATGGTGGTGCAACCTCCAACTTCTCTAGAGAAGTCAAAATGAAATGAGAAAGTTAGCTAGTTCATCACAAATTCAGTTTATTATATTATAAACCATTTACCAAATGACTAGCAGGCAAAAAAGCAGTTATTTAACAGCTTTAAAATGTGAAGAAAAATGCTTCACATCTACATTTTCATTATTTTTACAAAAAATAATATAATATTAAAAGCCAAAAAGTCTTAGAATGCTATCACAAGATTAAACTAGTATAAGTGATTATGCAAAATAACAGCATACATTAGAAGCAGTCCAATAGCCATCTTTATTACTCCAAATTAGAAAACAACACACTAAAATTAGAAAAACCAGGACATCTAAAGAGAATTGTATTTTATTATTTGTTTTTAGAGGTACTCTAAGCATGCAGCAAACAACATTCTTTCCTCCAGAGACAGTCTGCAAAACCCCTCCTATCACTTCTGTTCTGACAGAAGGCATCTTTTAATAGCTAGCATGAGAAT